GTTGGATTATCAGAAGAACAATTCTGTTTAGACATGCTGGCCTTTTGCATTTACCTTTGGTGCTGGCTGGAAGACCCTGAGCTGCAGCGCTGGAGGCAGCGACGCGTACAAAGGGATGACAACCATGGGACAGCAGCCATCAGGGAGGTGCTTGGCGATGTCTCGACACGTCCTCGCCAGAGCCTCGATCTCCTCTTGACCCGTCATGAACACCAAGACGTCATGAGATGGTGGCGCCTCCTGTTTCACGCAACACAAACAGCGAATCAGAACAAACTGCTCTAGTTTTGGGGTCATTTTTCCCCCACAAGGATTACAGCATCCAGTAAAAACTGGAGAAATTACACTTGACAAATGTAAAAGTTAAATTAGCCATTAGTTTCATGAAATCTGATGAAAGAGCTGAAAGTGACTTGTTAAAGCTAAAAAAGCTAAACAAGCAGCACAAGTCAAAAATAAAGCAGACACTGCACAATAGAAACAACATGTCCAAATCACAAATTTGTAAATAAAGCTAAATGTTTTGACAAATATAAAAGTTACATTTTGATATACGAATGGTAAAAACACCACAAATTATTCAGAATAAATGAGATTGCAAACATGTATGAAAAAAAAACAAAAAAAACAAATCAAAGAAAATGTGCAAAATAATCGTGACAATGACGGTTCACTGCTCCGCGTGTCAGAAACTACCTGGTGGATCTGGAAGACAGAAACGAGCGCCGCCTGCAGGTAGTCGGACTGAGGCTGCTTGGTGTAGTACACCTGAATGTGGTGCTGCCTCCCCTCCAGGTACAACACAGGCGACTTGTTAAAGTACTCCGAGAACAAATCCACATCCATCGTGGCAGACATCACGATGACCTAAGCAGGTAAGGAAAACAAATCCGCTAATTCCAATAAATGACGTGTAAATAAAGTTTACTTTGAACGTAAAATGCCAGCTTGTCCTGACCTTCAGGGGAATCTTGTTCAACTCCCTGCGGCGGCGCTGTGCGGTCTTAACCACACCAAACAGCACGTCAGTGTGCACGGTGCGCTCGTGAGCTTCATCCAGGACCACCACAGTGTAGCGCAGCAGTAAGCGGTCTCCGATGGCCTCGCGGAGCAGCATCCCGTCGGTCATGAACTTCAGTTTAGTCTCAGATGAGGTGACATCCTCAAAACGCACCGTGTAGCCAACCTAAGAGTTAATGAAATGTCACACCAGGACTTCAAGACAAGGAACGATACCATCATTCATCCACGGGACTTTGTTTTATTATTAATGCAAGCATATATAGTAGTATTAAGGACAAAAAAATAAATAAACATGAAAAGAAACTATAAAACAAACAATTTTAAACAAATGACTAAAAGTAGAAAAAAACTGAAAAACTATTTAATTCTTGCCATGTTCTTCAGATAACTGATTTAGTGATGGACTGTTCATACTTAG